GGTTAGAAAAGAAACGCCTTCCAGCTATGGAGGTTTTTAATGCATTGTTTCTACCGGACTTCAGATGAGGACTTGGAAAAAATTTGCAACTGAGTGGGTTGGATGTACAGTATTAGACTCCGGAAGATTCGAGTTACACCCAGGTCCAACTGAATTAACAGGGATTTCGAATTAGAGCTCAAATAATAAAATGTTCAGACAGAGTGGTACGACTGTTGAATCATTCGTTGCTTACTGGACGAATCTTGCTCGCAAATAGTAGAATTACTGTAGTGAGTAAAGCAGTAAGCAGTGTGCAAGCGCCATGTTCCGTTTTGTTTCCACAGTTTACTGCAAGTGTTGCTTCCGTTTCCCGATAATGAGGTAAACGTATGCCACATGTTCTCATCAGGAACAGCATTGCTCCAAATTGCAGTATAATTTTCGGCCAAGGTGCGGTACGGATCATGGTTAGCCAGGATGTACCTACAATAGGAGAAAAATCCAGAAAATCTCAATCACTTTTGGTGAACTTCCTTCAAAATTCAGTAGGCATCCAGGCCTCAAATACCTGTATATGGAGAATTTTTGCAAGCCTCGAGATTTTCGAGGACAATAAACGAATCATCACCTATCAAAAGTATTGATCCAGTGATATTCAAAAAACTCTCACCTTGAAAAAAGCACAGTTAATTGTTGAAATACAACTTTTCTCGTGAAAATGAATCAGTTCTTTAGACAAGACAAAATATCGTGACGTGACGCTATATTATGATCGAGAACAACATTTCCATTCTATCAAAATTCCATTTTAGGAACTCGGGGGCGACTTAGACAGAATATATTTTAGATTGAAGTTCGAATTCGATTTGTGAAAGCAGAATTAGGCTCAGAATATTTTGGTAATGATATAAAACCTCATTTTCCAGAAAATCTCGTGTGACCTAGAACCAACTGCGGCCTTTCATCGCTCCGATATGTCAAGTGAAGATTTACCTGATATTATTTCCCACCGGAACTAAAGAAACGTTGTGATTGTCGAGGAATTTTCCAACTTCCTCCAACATCGCCAATGATTTCATGATGGGCAAGGTTCTGTTGATTGAAGCACATCGATTCTCTGCCCAGTAAATACTACCTTTTTCCATCTTATGCAAAGTCAGCAACTCGATATTTTTACCTTCCACATTCACGGTGTCTGCAAGTATTCATCAATGACACATTAATCGAAGAAACATATTTTTTGGATATCTGTATGACAAAGTTATCCTCGTAAAACGCAAGAACTTACTCGGTGGAACACAAACCAGTTTGATAGGAATTTTCCAGCCGACTGATCCGTAGCATTTCGCTTCCAAATATCCACTGTTTGTTGAATTGAAAACTTTCCCAAAAGGACAAGAATATACAGCAGTTTCCCCGAACTGAAATGTATAATTTGAATCAACCCGAATTGGTGTCGAACCAACTTCGCATTTGATTCCGGTGTTCTTTGACGTCGGTAGAGGAGGAGATCCACATTCTGAAGAAAATCGTCGAAATGTAGGCAGACGGTCAGGGAAAAAAATGTTTGATCAGTGTGGCTTGCTAAACTTCATGAATGAAAATTCAAATTTAAAGTTTACATGTACATATCACATCATTTCGATCGCGATTCAAGTTTTGAAAATATATATTCGTGAGGAAAAAAAATCACCCTCTGCTCTTTATTCCGAGCACGTTTATGGCTAAAATGTCGGTTATGCTTTTTGTTTTTTTTCTGTTCACATCATTCATTCCGAAATTTTCCTACTTAGATCTTAATTCAATTCGAAGCATCACGAAGAATTCAAACAAATCAATGCTTTCCTCGATGCGAATCTAAGAACATGTCACATTTGGTCTTTCGAAGATGGCCAATTAATTACAAAAGATTTTCACCCAAGACCTTTTTTATGACTGATCAGTGCAGTTAATCTCCGTGCTGTCTATATAATGTGCATCGTTACGTTTACCAGGCAGGTTGTCCGTCTGTTGACACAATCCAAGCAATTTTGTTGAATCTCCATCAGCAGTGATGAACGATGCTTTAAACGGCATAAGTGTCCAGGCAATCGTCGCTACTAAAGATGTACCATTCAGAATTTCGGGTATGGACCACGGGCTTGGTTCGAAAAGGTCCCCAGTTTCATTTCTGAAAAACTGCTGATTCGAAGTCCCACGAACTGAGTCATCACTGTGAATGAAGATTTTTCAGGATCAATAGCAGGCAGCTGATTTTTAATAAATATTTGTACTGAAATCTAGAGGGATGAGGGTGACATCGAATTATAATAAATGTTCTTCGAATCGAATAGTGAAAAACAAAGTCATCACGTTTAAACCAATTCACGCGATTTAATGAAGAATATTTTTAATTCTTTTTACAGTTTTTTTCTCCGGTTATCCGAAAGATATACAATTATAGCTAACAGGGGAATTTCGGAAAATACGTAATTTGGTGTCTGAAGAATATTCTGGACAAGGTCGTGTTTTCTTGATATTCCTTTCAAAATTCGAACTCGTTCATAAATGTTGGCTCAGACCCTGTGAAAAATAAATAAATCTGACAAAGAATTTCAAGATGTGGGTATATTGGGTGAGAACCAACTAGTCACAATGCAAATGTATAGCAATGATAAAGAGCAATACAACGTACTATTTGCACTTGAAAAAAAAACACGGAAAAGGAAAATGTTCGCTCTAAAACTCTTCCAGCATTTATTTCTAATCGTCCAAATCATCTACAATTCTACAGGGACAAATTTATAGCACAATTCATATGTGTACTGTATTAGCAAATTGGATAGTAATTCTATTCATCTTCGCACTTTGAAAAAAAAACGGAAAGTATGTTCGATCACTCAAAACTCTTCCAACATAACTTTATTGCTGATCGCATATAAATCATCCATTGAGATAAAGTTTTATTAAACAATAAAAAAGAAGATTTTAAAACAGCATTTGTCCCGATTTCGACTCAAAAAGCCATGACTCACTATCTGGAATACCCGGTGTAGAAATGAAAATTTTTCAGCTTCTCCACTGCGAGTAGAACAGACGTCGTCGGTACTTTTTTCCCACATTCCGAAATGCTCGAACCATTTTGCAGAAGTGGGAGAGTCATGTTAAGATCTGCACAAAATGTGGCAACTTCCCAATGATTCCCGACGAACGTGGAATTCGGGATAACGCATCCTTGAGTCAATGAGATGAGTGTCATCCTCGGGACTTTTTCGCAACTAAATTCCGCCAAATGTGTATATGTATACTCACCTTCTGAAGATGCTAACATAAATGTAGTAAAAATCGCAGCCATCTGTGACCTCATGGTGATACATGAAATAATATCCCGAGACTGCCTGAGGACTCGCATATGATGGGTGAGTTCCTTTTATAGCTGAAGCCGCGTCATCGTGTGACTAAGAAACATGTTTCAAAAAGCCTCGTGGAGACTTTAGCAAATTGCCATAATAATGGTGAAGGGCATTTTTTGAAATTAGCTCTGGAAATCGTAGAGCCGATGCCGTGATTTATAATTCTATACAGCGAGTCACGAACTTATTCGTGAAAATTGGTCATGAGAGCAAAAAAGCTCGGATTTCCATCGCGGGTAATTGGAATTGGCACTTTACGCAAGTACCGTAGAAAATCCTACACTCATTCGTTGCAGAATAATAAATTCTACAGAGAAAATATTTAAATTCATGCATTATATAGCATAAGGAATGTTTTCTTACTCGGGTATTTCAGTAAAATCATTCCAGGGTTGGTTCGTAAAAGATGATAAAAAAAAACCAAATGCCATCTTCGGAGGCGGTTGCAATTTTTTTCTTATTCTCCTCGTCAATCCTTCATTGGTGTCTTATAAATGTTTCATCCACTATACTCAGCTACAGATGGAAACATGAAAAAGACCTCACAGTCAAGGCTCTCCACTGAGGCGAAGTTTAATGGATAAATTGATAGGAGAGCATGCGAGTGCGCAGCTCCTCTTTATCCATTAAACTTAACTTCAGTCAACTTCAGTGAAGAGCATTGACTTTGAGGTCTTTTTCTCGTTTCCATCTGTAACTGAATAGTGGATGAAACATTTATTAGACACCAATGAAGGATTGACGATGAGAAAAAAATTTTTGCATCTGTCTTCGATGACGGCATTTGGCTGTTTTATCATCTTTTACGAACCAAACCTCGTATACTCAACCCTCACTGTTATCAAACTGCAAGAGAAAGAAATATTGACCTGTTGAATCTTTCGGCGTCATCGATTTGAGTGAATATCATTAAAAATATTATAAATAGATTCAGTCAAAATCTTGATGATATTCATTAACACCTTTCGAATTCATGTTCAGCTTTCATGGTGAATTTTTAAAGAAAATAATTGCTGTGCGGTTCGCCGCTGGGTATAGACCAGAATAAAGTAATCAGATTAGCTTGTGTAATCCGATTCTTTCAGTCCGATTTTCCAAGGTATGATAATTGGGTACTACCGAGTGATTCTTTTTATTTCAGTAGGGGTGCTGTTGCCTGGGTGACGGTTTTGGCATGAATTCATGCATGCTAAAAAGGTGGTAGTGTATATTACTCAATTTTTCACGAATTACAAAAACCTTATGCGCTATACGGTACTTCTAAGTCAGAAGGAAAGAGCTTTTATGCTTTGTAGCTATACATACTTGTACAGTACAACAATTTCAACATTTTCGTCGTTTCTTTCAGTTTATTTTGAATCCTGATATAGTACGGTAAATCTATTCCTGAGCGATAAATATGACAACAATATTGGGTTGAACATGGATACAAATGGAATTCTCCAGTCTTAAAAAATTGCTATTTATCAAGAGAATTACTTAGTAGAAATGCAAATGCTTCTATTTATTTATTTTCAGGTTGCTCTTATTTGTGCATAAGCGATAAATACATTTTATGCGCAGCAAGGAAAAAACATCATCTCTTCACAAGAAAAATATATATTCCAACCTCGTCAACAAAAACTTCTAGCAATTTTCGGCCGCAGATGGAAGGCCTCGCTTTCTTGCAACGATGGACGAAGCACATACTGAAGAAAAAAAAACTCGAAATCATGTCAATATTTTCAGGAAAATATGAAATAATATCCCTACTCACCATCATGAGTATAATTTTCTTTTTATTGGCCTGAAAAGCAAGCCTTGGTAAGAAAGAACTACGTATTTTGAGGTAAGTACATGCAAGATGCCACTGTGAATGCCCTAGTTGGAACATGCAAAAGGATGACGTGTGTCCAGGTTCGAATAAAAGGTTCCAGGCAGTTTAAAATTTCCTTGATAAATTGGCCGATTTCGGCGTTTGATTCGCGTTTTCATCAATAGAAAAGAATTTTACCTGACCTCTTCAAACTTGAAAACAGGGCCATTGTTTGACCAACCATCGAGCCTCACCTGGTTCCCCTGCTGCTCTAGTAGTTGATGTGATCGGCCGAGTCGTACTCAAAATTGAAGAAATTTCCGTGTTTTTTGATGTCGAAGCAGTAATTCCAGTAGACGTCGATGACACTATCGTAGAGGATATTGTTGTCCCTTGCTGCGTGTTAGTTGTTCCACTTGCTGCACTGGAACTGGATGCAGTTGAAGTTGTGGCACTCATTGTAGATGGATTGGATGTCAAACTCGTTGAACCTGATTTACATAGGAAATATTTCTGAAATTGACTCCCAAAACTATGAATCCACGACTAGTCGAAATTCAAAAGACGATGAGAGACAACGAAAGTTTCGATATTACAGTGATTCAAGAATGCTTCCTTATCTTGTTTTTAATCCTGTGAGGCAGTATAATCTTCATGAATTAAAACTAATTCATTTTGAATCTCCAGCTAATTTGGCATCGACTTATAGTCCGGAAAATAAAAAGTAATTTTCCGTTTCATCTCCCAGGCGCCCAAATTATGTGCAAGTCGTGTCAAACCTTCTGCGAATGTAATTTTTTGGTGCTGAAAGATATGTGTATTTATAAATCTACGAAGTAATTTTTTTTTGGGTCCTTATATACTCCACAATAAATTATCGCATAGATCAACGGTACTTTGTACTGTTATTCCAACCTTTGGTTGCTGAGAGTGATGTCGACGCAGTTGAAGCAATAACTGAGCCGGCTTCTGTTGATGTTTGAGTAGATGTCGCTGCTGTTCCGGTGGAAGAAGATATGCTCGTGCTTGTGCTGAATGAACCACCTTGTGTCGTGGAAGTAGTTGGACTGACAGTTGTTGACAAAGTAGATGATGCTATACGTTCGAATATGGGGATGAGAGATTTAAAAAAGTGGAAAAATTTTCAGCACTCAGAATTTCTTTCATGAGTCACCTTGTGACTTTAAATGCTGTACTTGCAAACAACAAAATACTTATTTTGATTATTTTTCTACACAAGAATTCGGGTCTATTTCCAAAAACTCGAAGTAATTTTTTGTTCTCCCCAACGTGTCGAATCGAAGACATAAGCTCAAAAAATCGTATACCGCTTTCTGAATCAGCTGATGCTGTCCCAGTTGCCACGGGAGCGCAGGTATCTTGAATTTCAGTCCAGTTTCCCGTATCTTTGTTACACGTCCTGTCCAAAGATGTGCTACTGGAATTTGCCCATTTGTAGCCGGAAACACACGTGAGAGACCAGTGAGATATTTCGTCGTTCACGGAACAATTCTGTTGCATGTGAGAATCGTTCTTCGGCTCCGATGGCAGCCCTCCACATTTTTTTGTACCTGCAAGAATTCTCCAACCTCTGAGTATCTTTTGACATTTTAACCATAAAAATCTTTGCATTCTAAACTCTTCCCATCAAACTTCAAGGGACCAAGAAAAATATTCGAGTTACGGAAACGAGCATTTTTGGCTGGGGAAAGAAAGATGAATAGGAGGAAATTGTCATTGGTGATATTCTAAGCCAGCAGACACTGCATTTTAAATGAGTTGAAATGGTCTTAAACTTGGCGGCCATATTCAATTTGTTTTTCATTTTCTTTAAAAATCAAAACGCATCAATATGTACATTCTTCCTTCATCGATAAAATAATAGCCAGAAGGTCTCAGAAAGTTCGAGTTAGGAAAGCCTTCGAGCTTGGGGTTTTTAATATATCGTTTGAATGGGAATCCAGATATTGGGACTTGAAGAAAAGACTTTGGAAGGTATTCTACTCAGAGAGTTACGAGTTATCAAAGTTAAACTGTATTTTTTTCATCAAGAAAGGGTTGGAAGAACAATAATGCGGAGATATATACAAGTACCAGGTACACAAGGTCCAAGGGAATAAGGATACCAGCCAAAGTTCCCGTAACAGGTGCTGGTTCGAACTGTTATCAATCCCGTCTGGTTCTCTTCCATCATTCCGCAATCACAATTTGGGTAGGAATTAGTCGCTTCAAAAACATAAGCTCCATTGCTATCAGGTGCTGGTGATGCAGTGCCTGTCCTGTTGTTCTGCTTCGGAGGAGCTATTGTGCAATCTAAATGTTTAGATGATTATTATCGAGAAATTGATCAGTTGAACATTTAAAAAAGGTTCTTCTCTTACTGGTCGCCTTTGCTAAGCCACAGACGATAGTAACTTTTCCTTCGTGCTCCTCACTGCATTCAAAATTGGCGAGGCCCCAGGATCCATTTCGATTCAACAAATAACTGCACAGCAATTTGGCATCAGCCTTTGGTTCTCCAGGCAGCCAGATGTTGGGATCGTTTATGTTGAGTTTCGTCATGACTGCTGTGAAATCCGTGATGCCTTCAGTTTGAGCTGAACTGCATAAGAACATGCTTTCGTTTAACTTGGCTACTTTTTTCTCCTAAATAATTGTTGAATTTTTATCATTTTTCCCTTTTTAATGTAACCTTTTTTCTGAGCTCCGTGCTCACTTCACCAATGAGTTCTGAACGTCTGAGCCAGATCGCAATCTTCTTACTCCGGATAAAGTTCATTTATTCAAACCACTGTGACGAGTTCTGTTCTGATCGATTGTATTTAATCTTGTTCTAGATCGGATAGTTTGAAAGGACGAGGGTTTCAGCTCTTTTTTTTATCTCCAAAAATAATTCCCATGTTCGATGTAACATATAAAGCCAACAGATTTTAGAGTCAAGAAAATCGAATGCTGAAGAAACCCTCGAAGTTATTGTTACAAGATCAAGCAGATTAATCACATCAGCCGTCAGTTCTGCAGATAAATTTAGTGAAATTCTTGAAGTGAAAATATCAATTTATCTTTAAAAAATTCTTTGGATACTATATTCGGAGCAAATTTACAATGTTTTGACGATTGCCTCGAAACTATAGTTTCACCAGAGAATACGCAACAGTTTGTATCCCACTTACAAGAGTGCGTAGTTTCTCACAGGGATCATCACAGTGGGATTCCTAACATTCTTTTCCTCATCCGGAACTTGGGATAAAACATGTCCCATTTCCACCGAATCCGTGATCAAGGGCAATTGTAAACCTTGCTCAGAAGCGCATTTTGCTGCGGATTTCAGCACCCCGTTATCTGATCCATTTGATAGGAATGTGTATGGTTTATAAAGCGGACAATCCCCAAAATTCGACAGCAGGGTTTGCCATGCAAGTTTTCCGAGGCACATAGTCGAGACTACAGTTCCAGTATTTTCTACCCCTCGGCAGGTGTAATTTAGAATTGTCCCGTAACGTAGTGTGATATTTGGCGCGGGGTCGAAATCCAGTTTCCATGCTTGCCTCGGAGCGAATTGGGTGAGTGACTGGAATGGACAGACTGGAAATTTTCGAAGAGATTAAATTTCGGTACACGTGGTATAATGATTGGATGTCAAATATTTCTGAAGTCTATTATGCATCACTTTCCCATAAGAGTTCAACAATATATCATAATCCCTGCAAAGTGGAAATTATAAATAAAGTATAAATAACTCACGAAGAAAAATTATGATCTCTCGCATTTTAATGGTTCTCGAAATATAACCGCTGTGTAGCAACTCTAGCAAGGAATACTGTATTTTGTGTGATTTTAAAAAAAATGTGAAGGTATAAGGGCAGCGGAGATTTGTTTTGCGTAAAAGGGAAAATATCAGTAATTCACTGATCAGCAAGAACTATTCCTGCACCAAAAGCAAACCTAACAAAACTTTGTGATGCTTGAGAAAACTTCAGGACATAAAATACAATCGAAAGGAATTTTTGTTTGGGGAAGCATAGACGATTCCAATGATATGACCTGTTTTCCTTGAAGAATATATCAGATTGAAATGTGGAAATCTATTTGAATTCTTATTTTTAATCTCGTTTCATTTAAAAAATTGTTTTCATTGGCAGAACTGAGCACGAAAAGCTGCATGTCGGTATAAAAAGAAGCGTATAATCTTAATTTTTCAATAATTTTTATTTCATTTACATTAATATTTGTCTCGTCAGTCGAAGAAATGAAATGGCGTTCCTTCATGAAAATAAATAAATTAGAGGCTCATTGTTTAAGGGAAATAAAAACGGAGACTTGGTCCTCAAGTAAGTAAGACGAATAGTAAAGGAAATTCCTGAGGGATTCTGAAGCGGAAATTGGATTCGTGAACAGAGAAAAGAAAAGTTCTGGAGCGCATTTTGCATTACGAAACAATGCCAAAATAAAAATATAAATAAACTACAATTGAGTTGAGTTTCATAGACAGCTTTATATACGGCCTTTTTTTATTTAATAATGAAAAAATCACCGCCACTCACCAGAAGGAGTCGATTCGCAAATAAAAGTTTTCTCTTGTGTATCCATGCAATCAACTGAATCGAATTCCCATTTGGTCCCATATTTTAGCACGGTGCATTTGAAATCTTCATTAGGGACCCAATCCGGCTTCCAGGCACTTTCATTGAATATTGCAAAAGACCAAGTCCTTGTCAGATTTGCAGCATACGATCTTTGGGAGTCCTGATTCAATAGCAAGCCCCTGAATGTAGATCATTGAAGATCAGGATAATTTTTACAAAAATGCATCGATGAATTCTTGATTGATACACACAAACCTTATATTATTCCCGACCATGGCACCACTCAAACCTTTTTCCGACAAGAAACCTCCCAATTCCTCAAGTAACACGGGGGAAGATATTGTTGCCAAGGAACCATTGACTGAATTACAGTACTCCTCTGCCTTGAACGACTGGTAACGTGATGCAGTCGCATTGTACAAGGTGTAAGTCTTGTTCCCAAATGCCATCGTTGCTGTGAAATCGTAATATCCCAACAACAACAAAAATCCGTGTGAATCAATTTCCGAAAATATGATTTTCTTTTCATACCTCCGGGGGAAACGCAACGAAGTAAAACGGGTCTTTCCCAGCCGATTGGACCCCGGCATTCTGCAATCAAGTACCTGCTGATGGTTTCATTGAAAACCTTTCCAAGAGGACACTCGTACGTGGCTTTTGTTCACGGGTCTTTCCCAGCCGATTGGACCCCGGCATTCTGCAATCAAGTGCCTGCTGATGGTTTCATTGAAAACCTTTCCAAGAGGACACTCGTACGTTGCTTTTGTTCCGAAAGTATAGTTTCCAGATGACGTCGGAGTGATGTTTTCAGTTCCTACTGAGCATTTGATTCCACGCACATTCACGTCATCCACAGTTAGTGGTGGCACACGGCAATCTGAAACAATCGACGATTCCAGAATAAGAAAAAAAAGTCCTCATGGAATAAAAATGTGATTATTTTCACTCGTGGGAGAGGATCTTTGGCACGCCGTGTGACAAGCAAGATCCGTACGATTCATAGGAATGAATACTTTGTAGCATTCGTGGTGCAAATCACTTATGAGTCCTCCGCGATAAATCAGCGCGAGTTCTGCGAGAGAATTGCCGGGGTCGATCGCTGGGTATTTCCACGGAACATCGGTGAGAATGGAAAAATCCAACGGATTGCGAAAGACCGTGTAATTACTGTAGCCAGCTTGCTCATCATATCTACAGACAGAAAATAAGTGAATAATGACTATTGATGTACCGTGAATACAGTAGAAATCTGTTACAAAAAAAGTTCGATATAATGAATTGTTTTCTCGGTCCCACAGCAGTTTTTCAGAGGAGTAATGCTATACAAATCTTGTCCTAACAAACTCATTTTAGGCAGTAATCTCATTATAACAAATTCTTGGTCATGATCCTGGAGATATGAAGATTATTTGATAAATGGCCGAAAACTTGGAAACATTTGAAAGGTCCAGCATTCCAACTTCATCATATTAGAAAACTTTCTGCCAAGAAAATACGACAAATAAAAATATTTACACAACATGGACACAGCGTAGAAATTCTTTTGCTCCATTTGACATTTATGAATTTATTTTTAAAAAAAAGTATATTAGAAAAATTTTCCTCCCTTTGAAAGAGCAGACAACTATGAGTGAACAAGTTGATTGAGAAGGAAGTATAGTGGAATATTTCTATCAACACTTGAAATTAAGTTTCATTGTATTTTTTAAGACAATCAAAACTTAAGTACAAAGGCAGGTTTTACTGAAGGAAATTAATGTTTATTTCAACAGTTTTTTCCTCATTTCATCAGAAATACTTATTAATCATGACCGATTTTGAATTATCCATTTTGCAAACACCTTAAATTATTTATTGCCTGTTTCAAACAAAATGTCCGTCTAGAATGTGTTGAAAACCATGAATCTAAATACAACACATATTATGATGTTTTTTTCGGCCCCCAAAGTCTGTTGCAGTGAGATTTTACTGCATAAAATGTGAGGGGGGGGGGGGAGTGGGGACAGGTACTTACATTCGAGCAGACGCTGTGAAGAAAACTCCCTCTTGTTCTGGTCGCAGGGCTTCCTTTGCCTTTGTGATCATATTTCGAGAGTTGATCATCATCAGGCCTGAGTTGGAGTATGATTGGCACAGTTTCGCTGCTTCCCAAATCGTGCCCATGAATCTGAAGTCCGGCACAAAAATATCTGTTGACAACCCGCCAAAAATTACACCAACTTGATTCCCCCTTGAAAAAATGTATGAAAATTGAATTGATTAGAAGAGCCTTCCCCAACTTGTGGTCCGCGGACCAGAACTGGTCTGCAACAGTTTTTTGTTGGTCTGTGGGACATTTTCTTCAGCATAATAAATTGATCAAAATTAGCAATTGAGTCTGGCATCTTTTTTTCTAAAATTTTGAAAGGACAATGGCAGTTGAAATTATCTGAGCAAAACTAAAAGTTGGCTTTTATATAATAGAACTTCAGACTAATGTTCACCTTCTGAAATAAATTATTTCAATTTTTCATCCTGAGAAACCTCGTTGCGAGCCTACATTTCTATTTTTTCAAGATATTATACTGTTGCTGCTTCATTGACTCTTAACATAATTTTTGCAAAATATAGGAGAAACTATTTAAATACCTGACATAAAATTTGAAAAAAACCTTTCCGCGTTTCCAGAAATTTTATGAAACTATGCCAGCCCTACCGAACATATTTTTTTTTAATTTGGTGGTCAACGGACACAGAAAGGTTGGGGAACACTGAATTAGAAAACCTTCAGGTTCCCCGCAGATGAGACTGGTTGGTGGTCTTTTCCATCCAACAGTTCCCATGCAAGTGGCGTGTAAATAATCCCACGCAGAGCCCTTGAAAAATTTTCCTTTTGGACAACGATAGGTGGCGATTGTTCCATACGGGTAAGTTTGATCAGCGGTGAGGTCAACAGTAATATCCTGGTCTTTTTCAGCCTGGCTCAGCGGTGGACTGCTTGCACAATCTAGAATATTATGCAATGGCATGAAAAACGAATACAAGAAAACTCTACACGCCAAATAGGGTTAAATTTTGCACTGCACAACTCACTCGTAGTAGTTGTTTTGTCGCACACTGCTGTCAGCTTTTCAGAATATCCATCAACATCGAAAAGTGCGAACAACACTAAACCTAAGACTTTCGGTTGGAAAACAAGCGACTTATGAGATCCTCCACTCGGTTCATTCAGAGCCCAAGGCGTAGGCTTAAATTCCTGTTTATTTTCGAATGTATATGTATCTGGTTTGTCTTGACCTCTAAGGGATTCGTCGCTATAAAATAAAAATAGAAGCACTTTTCAATTTTATCGCAAAATAAATTTATGCATGAACATTAGATAATCAGAACAAATTCCTAGGAAAGTAGCTAAATGTGTATAGCTAAGTAGTATAGTATAGCTATAGTATAGCTAAATGTCCAGCAGTTTAAAAAAATAAAATTAACCCAACAAGTTCTCAAAACCGAATTAAAAGAATGATCGCTAATCTTTTTTTCGTGGCATTATTGGCGTTCCTGAATTTCACACACCTTTTCAAACCTTATCCCCGATACCCCAATGGTTTATTTTCCTTTTTCGAATGCGAAGAAAAGTTTTCTTTAAAATTTTCCTTTTCGGGAAACCATGAGGTTAAAATTTTTATGCAATCCTTCATCCTGATGCAAAAAGCTAAGGGAGTTCGTATTCAAGATTTGGCCAGTTCCAAAAACTAAATGCTCGCTTTCCTTCAAAGTAAAAAGATGGATTTTAGAAATAAATTTCTTTGATATTCTTACTATCTGGCGTAAGAAGTGTAGACCTTTGTGATGGAACTCGGGAATCCAGATACATCCTTTGCACATGAATCCCCGACAGTTTCCGATGGGATTCTTGGAAGTCCTGCATTTCTTGCCTTGCAAAATTCCACCACCTCCCAAAGATTCCCTGAAAAATTCGGGTCCGGGATCCAACACTGTCCTGAAACCTCTGAAATTGAGACCACGTTATTTTATTCGTCATTTTCAGATACAATTTCAATGTTTACCTTGAAGAAGATGGAAGTTCAGGAGACACAAGAGATGAAGAAACAAATATTGTGTCATTGTCGCTGCCGCTTCCACGCAGGAAGTCTCTGTGTGGATTATCTTATAGTTTCCCCTGCTTTCTTACCTACTCTTCTTACGTAATCTGCGTCAAAAACGATTATAATATTGTAATTCAAGTCTGACTAGTTTTTGCATTAAGATGAATGTCCCTTTGGAAAATGATTGCAAGGTTTGAATGACGCATAATTTTTATATTCTTCCCTATCTTGAAAATTTGGACGCTTCGGCAGGAAACTCGAACTGAAAACCAAAATCACTACGCTTTTCCCATGCTTCGCCAATATTTCCAATATGGGACTTTTCCGTGCATATAAAATATGTTCTACAAAATTTCGGTCTTATACTACTTTTTTGAGCACTTTTAGAACGCAAACGATTGACCGAGATGTAAAAATTTAATAAAAATGCGAGAGTGACAAAATGCCCATGAGTTCACCGGCAGCATCATGCAGATCCGTCGACTCGCTTGTTCGATTTTCTTTTGCCAATTTTGACAAAGCGTAAGCGTCGGAAAATCTAATATTTGTTGCAATAAAGGCTCAGTTTCAAAAATTATATTTGTCGATATATTAAATTCTTTGGACCCGTTGAAAGAAAGAACAACAAAGTTCGAGTCACAATTCTATCTTCAAAAAATTTTTTTTCGTCCAAAAAAGTGCATCATCTGACTCTGACTTTGGCTTCAAAGATTTTCTCCATGTCTCAATATTAATTAACTGATCGCACAAATGTAAAACTTTGTTCAATCCCACCTTCTTCGCTTTGATAAATGTATGTTTATTAGACTCGGTCGACGTTTTTCGAACAAGCAACAAGCAATTTCCAGCGGAAAAATGATAGTTTTCCCTGTAACTTCTCCACGGACATTGTCTTCATATACAGTTCAGTACGTACAATAAAAATCAGACTTCATCACGAGATAAATAAAACACACACAAAGAATCCTGCCTAATGGCGACATTTTTGCAAAACACTTCATCCTTCACGGCCTCAATTTTCTACTGAACTTCGAAATTTGGTCGACAAAATTTGCGCGAGTCCAATTTCTCCGACATATTCCACCTACTGAAAAGGAGGTAATTCGGGTTTTTTGCGACCTCTGATAGAATTGAATGTGTATATATCCTGCCCGATGGACGCTAATTAGCGGACCTTTCGTGGACCAGCTGGCGTTTTATGGCAGACTGTGCTATTCAGCACGACGATGAGCATAAAGCATAGATGCGTGATCTACTGTTTTGCAGAAGAAAGGCGCCTTATTGTTTTTTTTTTCCTTTTCCCGTTCTTTGTTCCTTGGGGTTTATGCCGATCGACCAATAACGTGAGAAACCTACTGTCTGCCGTGTTTCTCAACAGCCTGTATCATTCTTGGTTGAAGGGAGGTGATTGATGTTTTTTTCCAGAAACCTTGCTTTTGTGCGCAGTACTTGGACCTATATGGAAGAAAACAACTGACATTCACAATCAGTGGAGTTGATCAATTAGTCGCCAACCGCGACCTTCTTTTTGATGTAAATAATTAAATAGGATCATGTATTCTGAATGTATTGCTGGATCAGAAGTGTTCATAAAGTCAATTTAGATTGATTTAATACTTGGTTAAGAAAATATTGCATGATGGTGCAGAAACTGTGCCTGATGAAGGTCATAATTGTACCCACATTTTTGCCGTGAATTATTTATACTGTACATATTTATACATTTGATTATACGCGATATTCGAAGACTTTTCTGGAGGATCAATAAAGAAATGAGTTGAAGTACAGGAGTACAAATTACCACGCGATTATTTGCAGGGCTTCATTTTTGGGGTCGTCCACCCTTGCTTCAGCTGTCCCCGATTCATTAAGCGAAAAAATTCCCGGGAGCATCCCATTCCATGGTTCCAGATGATGACCAGGGTTTAATGAAAACTTGCAGCTTATAATGATCACCTGAAATGTTCAGTTCGTCGCATGAAAGGAAGACATATGGTGTTTCGCCACGAAAATGCAATGATTTACTCACATTTGGAAGCTATGCCAGGTGGAGCAGCGGAGTGCATTCGGAATTTTGCTTCATACTTGACATCGATCGACATTCGCCGCTTCTCTTTTTATTTTATTTTCAGGATGAGGGCACTGGTTATTTTTTATGAGTAGCATGCGATGTTTATGCGTGCATATATGCGTATGAATTTCGGTGCAGCAGAAAAACTTCACATAAAAAAATTAAAGGTGAAATAGATAAATCCACTGACTTGCATCTTCTTCGGTGATGGTTGTTGATCCCACCAATCGTTTTCTCGAAGATGCCGTGCTGGTCGTCACCGAATTCGTTTTTAGTGACGCTTTAAATATATAGATATAGGATCATAATTTATATTGACCATGATAGCACGCAATAAACGTACTAGTCGACTTGTAAACCCCTGTCGTCGATGTGGAATTGGACATTGTAGAAGACAAGGATGAGGTAGTCGTCGTAGCTTTTGTAGTAGTAGTAGTAGTAGTAGTAGACGTCAGTGCGATGGTTGTGGTCGCAGTAGTTGTTGTCGACAGTGTTGCTGTTGATGTTGTTGTCAATGTGCTAATAGGGGTTGTCGATGTGCTGACAGGCGTTGTTGTTGATGTTGTTTTCAATGTGCTAATGGAGGTTGTGGATGTACTGACAGGCGTTGTTGTCGATGTTCTCACAGGTGCTGTCGACGCTATGTTGAACATGATCATTTGAGATAAATCCGAATGGACGGGCTTCAACGATTTATTTTACAAAGCATAATCAAAATAAAACGGCCTGCGAGAAATTCGGTGATTTTTTTCAATGAAGAGAGCAAATTAGTAACTTCACAAACTTTTCACATGCATTTTTGAATCCTAAATAATGAGTTGCTCTAAAACTGAAACTACACAGCAAGAGTTTCAAACTTCTATCGTTTTGAACCAAGAAATTTCTTTCATAAAATATGAAAATAAGCATCATCGAGTTGTAACGAATGATTCCGATGAAAAAGCCGCGTTGGTTTATGGAGAATGGATCAACCAATATTTAATTTCTCCAAATGAAATTATTGTGACGCTTTATATCCAGAACAGAACCACAAA